GGTAGATAGGGACAGGCAACTTAGACATTGGCTACTTAAAATGAGGGGGTAATAAAGGCATGAAGTGACTGGCTTACAAATTTTCAAGAGGGAATTTAGTTTAAGAGTGTGTGTGGTGTGGGGGAAGACAGAGTGCCCACTGAATAGTTTTCTTCTTGTTTAGAACAGATATGGTGAAAAGAAATGGGGATAAAATTCTTACGATTCAACAGTAATTGTTATCATGATTAATTCCAACTGTTACAACAGTAAAGGTAGAATTTTTGTAACAAAAATGGAGGAGTAGTTAATCTTACAGTCCCAAAACAACGAGCCCTAGGACCATTAAGGAAGAAGAGCACAAGCGGAATGCAGGACCCTAGCCAGAGAAACAGCAACACCAAAGAAGGAGGCAGAGAGTAGGACATGGAGAGAGGGAGCAGCTGAGGACTCTAGACTCATGGAAAGAGAGGGACTGAGTGCTGGTGGCCAGGAGGCAGGCTTGCAGAATGTGCTCTTTGGTTGTTTAAATTATTATATATTCTTGAGTGTTTTTGTGTATATCTCCCCACCCCACCTCCAACTGCCCCCCACCCTCCCAAAAAAAAAACAGAAAAGCAAGAGAAAATGGAAGCAAATACTGTTGAATGGTGATGCACAGAGGAGATTGTAATCATTGCAATGAAACAATGGTGTAAAGCTGATGTTCTCCCATGTAAAATATCACTCAGTTCACAATAAAAAATAAAATAAAATAACACTGCTCCTAGGGTCCCAGTTCACACATGCAGGGTTTATTCCAAACAAAATGTATTTAAATATGTCTCTGCAATCAGAGGCTGGCTGAAGATAAGTTCTCACAGTAATAACACTTGTCTTAGTTTCACAGGATTGTTATTGTTGTTGTGATGTGCATGGTGTTGGTTCTGACTCATAGTGACCCTGTACAGGGTTTCTGAGGCTGTAAATCTTTATAGGAGCAGAAAGCCTCATCTTGCTCCCATGAAACAGCTGATAGGTTTGAACTACTGACCATGAGATTAGTAGCCCGATTCGTAACCAATACGCTACCAGAGCTCCTTAGTTTCACAGGATGGCATCCCCAAAAATCACCTAATAAAATCAGTGGTTTCCAAGGGGATCTATCTGCTGGAACAGCTTAATTCAAGACAGAGATATCAGCTCAAAAAGTTGTGGAGACTGAGATACTCAAGGGGTAATCTTGATAGATTTTCTCAAAGGACACAGGACAGTCATGTGGGGTTTTATTAAGAAGTTTTAAGAAAATTGAAAACTGCATTGGTGAGAAAAACCGTT